AACCTGTAGATACTGCAAGACTTTGGGCTTTAGACCCCATTTTCTGTACTATTTTTCATTCTGTATGCACATGTGCATGTTAATGGATGAGGATGCCTATTTTGCTTCTTCATAATCGACCGAACAGAACGAACTCTACACCAGTCCGCAGTTGGTGATGACTCTACGCCTAAACGACACAAATGGTGACGATGAGTCACAATGGAGCAGTCGAATGACGATTATGTCCGAAGACGGGTGGAGGAGGAAGCAGGAGCTGCTGCAGGCGCTCAGGCAACAGCGAATCTTCTTGCGTCCAGCTCAGGCACTGCCTGAGGTCTCCACTTACGAGGACTATGAGAGCTGGACGATAGCGACCAAACCATTCAGAGTAAGTCATGCCTAGGCCGACACAGTAGCCCACCTTCCCTGAAGTTGCATTCGAATGGATATATTTATGATGTCTCTGCAAGGACAAGGCTCCTCCTGCATGGTCCGGTCTTGTTGATGCCATCTATTCGATAAAAGTTGTCTTTAAAAATGGGACTCATTCTTGAATAAAAACCTGAATTCCATCCTGGATTAAAATAGTTTTAAGGGAGGCAATGTTATGTCAAAGTTACTGTAATTGTGAATGTAGGAAAACTAAACTGTAGTCCTAAGGTCACCTTAAGTGACCTAGGAGGACTAAGTTCTTATTCAAGCATTACTTATAGTCTAAAAAACTACTTATAGCGAAGAAGACTATGCTTTCCTCGAGATGATTGTATGATACTTTATGTTAACTCTCTTACCACTTTAAGTGAACTCTCAATGCTTCCTTTTCAGCCTCTCAACTTATTCGGGCACGAGGCGAATCTACTGATGCATCGGGATCTGGGTAGTTTTGACGAAACTTATTTCGATGTCGAGTGGCGTTCGGCAAACAGTCTGCTTCATTTTGTTCTACTTCCTCGCACTCAACTGTACATGGCACCCAACCTCTTCGTTATCTACGCATCAAAGCTGCCGATTGGCTCGAAATGGGCTTTGGCTACCGAGCGAGTTCGCCGACAAAAGCTCTACAGGTATCCCTGGTCTGTGAGGTTGTTTGCGTGTTGTTTGAAATTAATTCCCTGTTTACACCTTCAGCGGGCTTTCACGAGGCAGCATTTCGTGTTTTGGGTTGCGAATATGCAGCTTTAAGAAACCAGACTAGTAAGTAAATTTGGTGTTCAGAGATAACGTTGGGCTCCTTGATTGAAAAGTCTGTGGCGCGTCCGAATGAGAAGAATTAGTCAGTCTGTGGTCGGAATCCGGAAAAAGTTATCAGTTTCTCGAAATTGTAGCCCCATTGGGAGCAAACTACACAAGGAGCATCATCGCATTGGCGAAAGATTGTGGTCAATCTTTAGTTTCTTATGCGAAGAAAATTTTGGTTTCGAGGAATCTCTTGTTTCATAATTATTGAGCTTACTTCCATTTCGAGTGAAAGTGTTGGGTGAAGAGATTCTTGACTCGTGAGCTTGATTTTTGTTGTGGCGATGATACCTTGCTCTGATGATGTTCGTCATATGACGGACGAAAGCTGGGCATCTTTTAACCGGAATCGAAGGAGATTACCTCAGAAACAGCGTCAGTATGAATCTTTCAGTAAAGCCAATCGACAGCTGGTCAAGAGCAATCCGCCGTCGTCTGTTGGTGGAACCGACCTTCGAATCTCTTCACTTTCACTCGAAATGGAAGTAAGCTCAACAATTTAATTTCTCAATTTATTCCTGTACGTATATAGTTCAACTAACTTTATTCTGCTCGGTTTAATCAAAATGACGCATGTAGAAGCCGGTTTAATAGATCAGTAAACTACGTTGATAAATGAGTGCTTGAAGGTTAGGAGAGCTGAAGAAAAGGCTGTTATACGTACATTTTTTCGAGAGACACTAAATAGTCTCATATTTCTCTTTTTTAGCCAGCCTTCTCCGTAATATAATGTGCATTGTCTTTCCTTCCTTCCTCTCAGTAACTTCTCCCCGTCATGAGATAGTTCTTCGCCGACTAGTAAAGTTATACAAGAGAACGATAGCTAGTTACACTTGATGCCTTAAGATGATATAAAGAGCTGGATAGTTATATTTGATGTAGTAATATCGATAGAATTCCGGAGCATGCCGGTAAATGTCATTTACTGGCGTACCCTTCATTTCATTTGAGAAGGCGGCTGGAAGGTATTCGTAAATTGGCCTCACCGGATACTGAAAAAAGATTGCCTTGGACTTTTTTCTGTTGAATTGTGCGAAGAAAACCTCGGCTTACCGTCTTGCGACCCCGATGAGTCCGTGCTGAGCCTATGTCTGACATGCTACTGGCATCGTCAAAGCCATAAAGTACTGTTCATGAACAATCACCAAAGACCACTAAACCAAGAAAGGTTGCCGGCCGAAGCCTTACTTACTTCTTATACCTCGTCTCACGAACTTAATGAGGGATTCCACGATTTTTAATAGTGGCTTGATGCTTGTCTGTATTCTGACCCAAAATTGCTAACTAACTCGTGAGTGTTGCATGCACATAGCACACACGCATCCACGAAGCTATACCAAGCCCGAGGATTACAGGATCATATACTAGTTTATTTGCTTAGACAAAAGATGTGATTACATCCACTCTCTTTCCTGCATCACTTTCACTTGCCTGCGTGTATGTATGTGGAAGAAGCACAATGACCCATCAAGAGCACAAAGTGAGGTATAAGAAATAAATAGAATCTCCGCCGGCCACCTTTCTCGGTTTTGTGTTTTTGGTGATTGTTCATGAATAATGTTCTCTGACGATGTCCGTCACATGACGGACGGAAGTTCAACACAGAGTCATCTGGGTCGTAGGACGGCGAGCAGACGCCTTGTTTACACAATTCAACAAAATTCCAAAGGAAACCTTATTTTGGTATCAAGTGAGGCCGCCTTCACAAACGTAATGAAAGGAATTTTTTAAATCTCGGATTCTCTTTAAATCTTAATTAAGTTCGCCTCCAAATAAAATTACTCAATTCCCCTGGACTGCATTTCCTCCCCGACGTAGACTTATATTATGCCCAGAGTGTTTCAAACCTGGCTTATAGAAATAAAAAAATTCATTTTGTAGATATGAAGAGTAACTGGATTTCGACGAATCTTTTAAAATAACATTGCTGGGGAGACTCTCGTATGAAAGTGCATGAAGAAGAGCTGCGAAGTTCGGTCTCACGTACAGGTTTTTGATGGAAATGGGCTGAGGTTTCAGCCATCATATGATAGGCATCATTAGAACTGGAACTTATATTTATGAGTCTCACGTCAACATCAACGTCGTATTAAAGCCAGACGGCTGCATTACAACAGGAATCAGCGATCGTTTTCTTGTGAAGTTACCTTTAGAATATCTTCTTTATGCCCTTTCATACGAAAGGAAAGCCTCATCAAAAGAATCATATCGAAATGTGAGGAATTAAATTATTTTCAGTTATACCATTTCTGAATATATGCTCAAAAAATGGTTTCATGATTTTAGGATGAAAAAACTTTGGCTGTGATTTTTTATTAGAATGATAGTTAATCCTCCAAATATAGATTGAAGTAAAGGCTTGATTTTTTGCATCGAAATGCACACCACCCCCTCATAAGAATGCGACTTTCATACAGGCTGGACTTCAGTTCCGACTAAACTTAATCATCGCACCAGCCCCTAAAGTAAGTGGGTTTTTGCAGTAATCTGCTTGCTTCTTAACCCACACGTTCATGGTGCGAATCCCCCTCAGTTTGTTAAACGACCAAACTGAGGTGGAAGCTGCATTCCGAAAGGATAAGAAAGGTGACTTGTAGAAGTACACCTAAGCCAATGTCCCTTAATTTTTCGTATGTAAGTAGAGTTTCTAGATTACCAGTCAATCAGTGCATTAATACCAATCATATAACTGATTTACTGGTAGTCTCGAAACTCTACTTACATACGAAAAATAAGTAACGCAGTCGTTTGTTATAGCAAAAATACGTTTGCTTCATCTACAATCCCACCAAAGAATGTGATATGGGAGAAGGCCTGACCTTCCTTAAAATTCGCATCTTCCCTGTGACCCAAGGGAACTCGTGGCAATATTGTTGAATCGTGAACGTGTCAAGCTCACATTCTGCACGGTCAGGGTTCGACTCCCACAAGGGGGTGTTAATAAGACCTATGCGAGGTCGAAACTGCAGTCCACTCCAGCCACAATGAGAAGAACTATTGGGAAAGCATGGCTATGTGAAATTTAATGGAATCGTAAGCTCTACTCATATCATTGTGTGAAAATTCTACTACCAGTCCTTCATCACCTTAAACAAAATAGGGTGAATACCTCTCATCTACTCCACTAAGCCGGATTAAGTATTAATGATTTATAGGACGGCTAGTCTTTGATTTTGCTGTTAGCCTGAATCTGCTATAAAAATTGTGATCCTCCTTGATTTTGCTCGTAGTATGACCTGCTCAGGGTAAGTACACTTTTGAAGAAACCGACGAACAATGTCCTCGGGGCTGTATAAGTAGAAGCCTTCCAGAATTGTTGTCACAACAGATCGGGGACAGAAGGACTTCGCTTTCTGGTTAGATCGACTTAGCTCACTTTGCA